ATTTATTTTCTTTATTAAGGAGGCAACCGTCTTTTCAAAAAGTTAAACAGCGATGAAAAAAGTCTTATATGTTCACCACGTAGCTCCCATTTTAGGCGCTCTTATCTTTCTCTGTGTGCCGTATTTTCTATTAGTATTGTTTTCCTCTGACTCACTTCCTTGAATCTTCCTTTCAATATGGGTTTGCTAGTGGCCAATTTTATTCTGAAGATATCTTTATTTTGCTAATTTTAAAAAGGTGTTTTCACTAGAAGTAAAAGATTCTGTGGAATTTTGAGGGTTAGGAAAGAGCATAATTAAAACAACAGTTTACATATACCAAACACTTAGTATAAGGAAAAAATACCCATAGGAATTATCTGCATTATAGAGACTTGAAGACTGAGGCACAGAGAGATTAAATTGTCTAAGGTCATACCCCTAACAAATGATAACATTCATGCAGTTCTGGAGTCTAAAACTATAACCATGATGTTCCATTGTTTACTAAGACAAATGGAGACTGTGCTAATTGCTTTTCTTGTCACTATAACCAGACACTTGACAAAAGCATTTTGGCTCATGGGTTAAAACAGAATACAGTCCATCCTGGCATGAAGGCAAAGTGGCAGGGGTGTGAGGTGGATAATCAAGATGTAGTCACGGCCAGGAAACGTAGAGAGGTAAGTACCAGTGCTCCACTATTCTATTTAATCCAGGACCACAGCCCATAGGATGATGCCACCCACATTTAGGGTATGCATTCCCTCTTCCTTTAAACCTCTCTGGAAACATCTCATAGGTACACTTTGAGGCATCTTTCCTAGGTGATTCCAAATCTATTTAGATTGATTATGAATGTTAATAATCACAGATTACAGAAAATGCTTCATGCTAATATTTCTGAGAAAAAGATACCAGTCGTTTACAGTCAGTCCAGAATTTCTCTCTCTCTTTTTTTTTTCTTTTCCTTTTGGTTAGTTTTTTGAGACGGGGTCTCATTTCATAATCCAACCTGGCTTTGAACTTGAAGTAATCTTTATGCCTCAAGCTCTCTAGGGCTGGAATTAACATCCATGCCAGGTTTCAGCAGTGGATGGGGTAAATACTGAAGTTGGTCCACATATCATCCCTCTGCCACTGTTCTAGTTGAAACCTTCACGGTGTCATCTGAACTTTATGAGCAACTTTGAACTTTACTTCTTCTAGGCTCTTACCTTCTAACTCATCTTTCACTGTTCTCATCAGCAGTTCTTTAAAATGCACACTGAGATGTATAATCAAAAGTGATGGAGGCATGAGCCTGAAGTCCAACAAACTTGGTTGGAAATCCAGACCCTACCATTTTGTAAATGTTTGATCTTGGTGAAGAGTCTTCCCCTTACTGAGCCTCAGCTCCTCATCTGCTCTGAACATAGATGAGATACTATAGGAAAGTCTATCACTGTGCCTGGTGCATGATTTAGTACTTACATATTATTATAATACTAATTCCTATCTTTGTCACAGTAAAATGTATGTGACTTTGAACTAGTCACATTTAGTCTTTGAACGTCACTTTTTCCAGTTGATAAGTGAATATGCTAATTTCTCATTCAGCTCCAAAAGTTGGTAATGCTAGGAACTGGCTATTTATTCAAGAAATGAATTCTAATTTAGATTTGGAACTCATTTTTAAAAATCTATGGGTTTTCATGTTCTGAGGCTTTGGAATTCCCTCCCAAACCTTCACAGCTGTATCCCAAGTGCCTTTTGGTTCTCCTTCTTTTCTGCGAGAGGTTCTGGGGCTAACTGGATAAAGACTCATTCTTTGGCGCGTCAGTGGAAGAGTCCTAGCTCCTCCTGGCTGCATTGTTCGGAGAATGTTTGAATTTGCCAGAACTTCAATACTTCATAGAAATCCCCAGGTCATGTCCATAGTCCCTCCCAACTCTGACACCGTTTTGATTTTTGGAGAAGTGTTTCTCAGTTTATCATTAATACACACACAAAAGGAGAGGCGCTTAGTGTGAGCAGGGAATGGTTTAGGCATATTCTTTTCTCAAATGTTCTGTGAACATAGCGTGGTGTAGGGCAGAGATCTAGTCCTGCCGAGTAATCTAAGAATCTCATGTTACTTGCCTGGGCTTGTTTCCTTATCTATAACCAGGAAGTACCAGTCATCCCCAGCCTGCCATTTAGTGCTATGCAAATGTAAAGGGTTGTTATTACTATTTCTTAAGTATTAAAAGATTCTGTAGAGAACTACAGTCAAGACATTATATACCAAACATTGAAAAATCAAATATACCAAAATAGCTTTTCACACCAAGTTAGAATTTGAAACAGAAATTATTTATAAAGTGGGGGTTTGCTACTGAGTATGCTTTGGTCTTCAATTAAATTCTTTTTAAACTCAGCCTCCATGGTGTAATGACTCTGGAATTAGTAATAATAAAACATTAGTTACACTGGTGAGTAATGGCTTTATTTAAAACAGGAGGAAATATTAACTCAGTGGCTCCCAGACTATCTCTAAGTGGTTATCCAGAGGCTGTAGTCAATACCAGTAGCCATTAGATTATGGGCTGAGACACATAGAACAGCTTATATTTTATATAACAGTTTCCCCTTGCTATTATGTTTGAGCCTCAGATTCTTTGGGGAATACTTGTAACTTCTTTTACTGGCAGTGGAACTGAGACTCAGAAAGTCACAATACTTGCAGGAAATGACAAAGCCTGGGAAATTATGAAGCAACCCAGCGCACAGGGTAAGAGTCTGGTGTCTGGCCTTAGCTAGTTTGGTCTCCTGTGTAATACGCAGTCACTGTATGAACAGGAGCTATGCCTGCTTCATGGAAATAGGATATGTAAAGTGCTTAGTACAGAGCCAAGTGCTGCCTTAAATGCTTAATAAAAATTGGCATTCTTCTTCATCTTCCACCTCATTATCCACTAGAGCACATGGGTGTTGACAAACACAGCCACAGGCATCTTCCAACTTACGCATTTCCCCAAACCACCCAGGAACATGCCCCTAGCAACCCAGTTTGGAACTGACTACATTGTCACTTCCCTCCCAGCCTGTGTGTCCTGGCCGTTAGGGACTTTTCTCCAGTCCCCATCCCCTCCTGGCCGGCACAGTTACCTTTCCTAACTTTCCCGAACTTCAGTCCTGGCTTCACTTGACTCTGGCGCCTCCTAGCAGTGGCAGGAGGAGGGTGGGGGTGGTGCTGTATTGTGTCAGAAAGGAGAAAAGAGAAAAAGCCTCTGGTCCAGTTCCCAGGGCCAATCTCCCCTGGAGTCTGCTTTGCTCTGGGACTCCAGGAGGTAGTCATCCTCTGGGCTCAAGCAGACTCAGCACCACCTGAGAAAGTGGCAGAAATGCAAAGTCACTGACACACACCAGACATATGGAATAAGGTCTTTGAGGTGGGGCCAGCAGACAATGTGGTTTTAGAAGCTCCCCAAGCATTTCCGATGATGTGTTCTCAAATTTGCAAACAACTGTTCTAAGGAAACATGAAAGAAAGCAGAAGGCCTGAGCATTCCACTTTGATTCTTGTCAAGCACTGTGAGGACCTTTCCTGGTTTTGTCAAGGGCTCTATGCTGGCTGGGGACTGGAGCCTGAGGCTGGGGAAGGGGTGGGTGGAGGTACTTGAATAGCTAACTTCTACTCTGTGTGAGAGGAATCTGCTGTCTCCTCAGCACCTGCTATGGGCTGTGCACTTGGCAGCCACTGTTTCCATTAAAGTTTTAGTTTTAATTTAACAACTTTCAAAGTTAGTGGAATTTATTCCTAACTATAGCTTAGAGAAAGGTAGAGAGAAGACAGTGAGAGTGAGGCCTGGTACATCCTTAGAGGGGATGAACTCTACACAAAGGTGTGGAAAGCTCATATTGTACCTTTATGCTGCAGATGATAAACTCAGGACTAGAAAAGAGAAAGGAGGACTTGTCCAAGGTCACAGAGGACACCAATATCCCTAAGCCAGTGCTCTGCCCAAACCTTATCAAATACCAGTTGCTTGTATTTTTAAACTTTATATGTTGAAATAATTTTGCATTTACAGAAAAGTTGCAAAAATAATAAAGTTCCTTACATTCTCTTACTCTTACTCCTGCAGTGGTCATACCCTTTAACTCTTACCGTCATCAAGAACTCACAGGCCAAGCATGATGGATGGTACATGTTAGGGTTCGGATCTGCACCAGACCCCTCCCCAACAGGGCCTCACAGTCTTTGAAGTCAAGAGAAGCAGACTTTTCTGCACCTTTTGGCCAAAGGCAGCATGCTCCCTCTTTGATGATCTTAAAGGATAAACAGACACCTTTTGACCCAGATCCTGGCTGACAGACAGAAGGGGGCAGTTTTATCAGAAGCTGTTCTGATAAACCCTGGACTCCTGCTCCCCGGCCTAATTTTTAAAAATATCTTCCCACCTTCTGCATACCTCCAAACCCCCCCTATAAAGACCCCATCCCACAATCCGTGGGCTGACAGTTTCCCTACCCCAAAGGGAATTGTCTCGTGTGAATTTCCTCTACTAATAAACTCTATCCTGCTGGAGTTTTATCTGTGTCCTGGTGCTTTCTCCTGATTGACCCAATTCATCTATCAGTACATGCACTTGGGAGGCAGAGGCAGATGGAGCTCTGTGAGATAGAGGCCAGCCTGGCCTACATCACAAGTTTCAGGCCAGCTGGGGTACAGGGAAACCCTGTCTCAAAAAAACAAAACAAAACAAACAATAAAAACCAAAACCAAAACAGAAACCAAAAATCTCACATTCATAGGTGATTTGAACTCTGCATTTTGAAATAATTGATTTAAATTCAGTTATAAGAAACAGTACAGATACTTCCTGTGTACCTTGTAGACATTTTAAAAAATCATATATGTTTATTTAGCACATGATACAGCCCTCATTTTCAAATGCATAATCATATATAAATGTGCATAGATTGACCTCAGCTCATAGAAATGGATCTGGGAGATTTCCATCATAACGATTGTCATTACATTTCGTCTTCTGCAGGTAATGACATGGATGATACAGAAGTTGACTAATGTACTGAAACGACATGCCTAAAGACACTTCTCATTCCTGAATGAACCACTGCAAGATTAAAACAGGCAAGTCTCAAAGGTCTTACACACTTAGGTGAGTAGAGGACTTGCAAAACAACATGTTGAAGAAGTGTTTTTGGTTCATCATAGAGATGATAGTCTTATTTTATTTTATCTCTGGCTAATGCTTGGTGGAATGGAGATTGCCAGTCAGACGTTTTTACCCAACAGGAATATCTCACATCAAACCCCTGTATTTGTGCAAGCATATTTTTGTGAAGAATTACTCAGGTTCAGGGAGCTGGAGAGGTGAGTCATGGGTTAAAAGCGCTGGCTGCTCTTGCAGAGGACCAGGGTTCAATTCCCAGCACCCACATGATGCTGACAACCTTCTGTATTCCAGTTCCAGAGAGATTCAATTCCCTCTTCTGGCCTCCACAGACATTACACAACACAGGTACGCTTACATTCATGAAGGCAAAACACTCATGTATATAAAATAAAATTAAAATAAATTTAAAAATTTTTAAAGAATTATAAGGATTATTCAGGTTCAACCTCACTCAAGACTATGTTCTCAGATCTCTTATAAGTGGACAGAGAATGGGGGAAAATTATATAGAGGCTTTTCTCAAACAGGAGAGGGGAGCACCTGCTTTATTTTGTCCCAATATTGCTTCTCCCGAATGCTTGAACCTTCCTGTCCAGATGTAAGCTCCTGCAGGTGCGGCCCAAGAGACCTGCACAGGAGGAGGAGAGGGGAGGGGTGCAGGAGCCTGGGTGCAGGGACTGGAAAACCTCCTGAGATTGTCCTTGGGAGGGATCTAGAGCCCAGAGTCTCAATCTCTGCAGAACACCCAGTGCTGAGCACTCTGTCCACAAGCTCTGCTGACCCAAGTGCTATCACATTCTTTGACTGTGTTTCCTTGTTCACTGCTGTGCTCCTACTTCTGGCCTTTGCTCACTGTAAGGGCCGAGTGGGCGGATGGATGAGCGAACCATGACACGTGCCACCCTGTTGGAGGGGGCAGGGTACTTGTCCTCCAAAGAACAGCTTGGCTTCCAGGATGTCGCAAGCCTGCCAAGGCCAGCCAGTCTGAGGCAGAGCCAAGCCCTGTGTACCATGCCGAGGGCAGGGACTCCTAACAGTTGACAGTGACAGCATGCTCCAGCATAAGTCTTTGGGATGACAGCCCTTTCAAGTGTTGAGAGTGCCTGGGTGAATGGTGGGCTGTTCCCTTGGTTCTGCGTTCCTGGGTAAGCTGAGAGAAATTCAATTCATATGTTCCTGGGTAATTTACACGATTTTCAGCAAGATGCCACCATTGTGTAAGAGCCATTTGACGTGGATAGTGCTGGTTTCTTTGTTCCATTCTGAGTCTAGTCCCTGATGGAAAGCCAAGGAGTTCATTCCTGGAGAAGGATGGATAGGAGCAAACAGCAAGTGGCACGGAGTGGTGTTTACAGGGCACTACAGTGCCCAGGACGGCTGCTTCAGTGAGGTTTTAGAGAGGCCCCAAACCACATGAGCTCTACCATTACTGCTGGCAGGACCTGCGGGAGGTGGAAAGAGAGCAAAGGACTGCCTAGGAGCAGGGAGGCTGAGGTTGCAGGAGATGGGGGCTGCCAGGCGGGACTCCTGGTTTGCTTCCTGTTCAGCCTTAGGAAGGTTACTTTCTCCTATGGCCTCTCCTCTTTGAAAAGTGTGCTGTTTTGCTCCATGATCTCTGTGGATCCGAATAACCGATTTATTACTGTGGGATTCTTTAGTGCCTTATGAATATTATTGGCCTAAACAAATGTTTTTCAAAAAAAATTTTGTTACTGTAGTCTTCAGTGAGGAATACATTTTACACAGTGACCCAGTACTGTATGTATATCGAGGGACAGAAAGGAAAGTTTCATAAATCAATATTTACCTTTCCTACAGAAACAGACATGTAAATCAATGGAAGGTCTTTCCTACAAAGGTGCCAAGACAATTGCATGGGAAAGATAGTCTGTTTAAACTGCAGTGGGACAATTGGAAACCCACAAATAGTACATAAATATGCAAACCTATACATGTCACATGATTCCCAGAATTGGTTAAAAGCAGGTTGCACCTGAAGTTTTATTTTAGTAAAAACTAAAAATAAGGAATGAATTACATGTACATGGAACATCAGGAACAATCCTCATAGGCATGCTAAGTGAAGGAGCTAAACATGAAAGAACAAATGTTTTATGGATCCATTTATATGAAACTTCTAGAAAAGCAAAACAATAGAGAGACAGCAGACCAGATGTTTGCTGGGCTGATGGAGTATTCCCAAGAGGAGAGGCTGTGTGGGGTCAGAGGAGGGGTTTGAAACTGGTGATAGCTACACATCTGTATAAATTTACTAAAAGCCATCAAACTGTACAGTTACAGTGGATAACTTTACTGCTGTATAAATGAAAACTGCAGAAGGTATGGGACTAATAAAACTAAAGGATGGAGATGATAGATGCTTTGTTCGTTTGTTCTGTGTTCTTTGGAAGTGCTGGGTTTGTTTTAAAACTCTCACTACTTTATTGTCTCTTTACATCATACCCACAGCATTGCTAAATTATACATGGGTTGTAAAGGACAATCTGAAAACAGTATGAATGAATAGGTATATGCTGCAAGTCTTAGATTTATTTTTTTGTATTTGATTGTTTTCTTTGTTTTATTTTTTGAGACAGGGTCTCACTGTGTAGCTCCAGCTGGCCGGGAACTTGCTATGTAGACCATCCCAGGCCTCAGTCTCACAGAGATCCACCTGCCTTTACCTCCTGAGTGCTGGAAGTAAAGGGATGTGCCATCATGCCCAACCCTATTTTTTAAATATTTTATTTATTTATTATTATTATTATTATAAGCATTTCATTACACCTTTAACATACTCAATAACAGTTTCCAGAGCAAAGATACATCTCTTTCAAAAGTGGTTATAAAATTTTTAGGTTCGCT